ACCATATGTACTATTGGACAACCTAAGGCAGGCACAGTCCCTAAGCCACATGCTTGTTGTTTAAACAGAGAGGGGGAGATGTTGAGAGCCACAGCCGAAGGGGCCCCAGCAAACTTCCAGCTGCCAGCTGATGATTGGCTCACAGCGGGCCCCAGCAAACTTCTAGCTGCCAACTGATTGGCTCCTCTGCGGTGATGCTCATTGGGCTGTTTCCCAGCCCTTTCAGACCACGGAGCTGCTCATTGGGGGACTTTTTTTGGCTCCACCTACACGACCCAGCCAATCGACCTCAAGAGCAGGAGGAGTGGGGGAGGTTGAGAGGCTTGTGGGAAGCCAGTGGTGGCAGTTGGGTTCTGAGGGTTTTTCCTGAGGAGCTGTGTGGTGTGGTGTGTGTGTTCTAAAAATAAAATTCGTTTCTTTTGACAAGTGGCTCCTGAATTGTGCCCAGCCAGACTGCGGCACTGGAGACCATTTTTCATTCCTCCAATTGGTAATCATGCCAGGTTTGCATGCAGAAAATTATGGAGACGTCATTTCCCACTAATACTTTTGAGGATGAGCTCCCCTCTGAACAACAAAATTAAATAAAGAAGAGACCAGAACTTAGGTGTCTGCACCAAGGAACTGTCTCTTTGGCTAGAGAATGTCTCTCCCCTGTTGGAGCCTCTCTCACCCAGCAGTTTCCACCCATCCTTCCATGCATGACTTCTGGATTTAATTGCTATTTTACCAGTGTGGTCACGACCCCTGTGCTTTTTCATAGGCGGCCATGAAAAAAAACTCAAGACTTCAGATTATTCACCCTTGTCATGTGACTTGTAACCCTGGTAGTTTTTATTACAAGTCTTTCTTGTAATGAGTTTTGATCTGTCTGCATTGAGGCTATCATTAGTTAATGAACTTTTTTTTAAGGGGGGGTGGATTCTGCCTCACTTAGAATAAAGGATCAAAGTTGAATCTGATTTATATTTTAGGTGCAATTTGGGGTTTTATTAACATAACAAAGGCTAAACTATAGAATGGTCTTAAAATTTATATTTCCCTTTGATGGCCATGATTCTCTATCAGAGTTTGTATTGAGACCATGATTGACAGCAGAAAAACATTAGTGATAAAGGCTGGAATAAAGAGATAACACTCCCTGGGGACAAAAGGAATGTCCAGAGAGAGACATCTAGTGGTTGTTAAACATTTAACTCCCTTTTCCCGGGAGGAATCTAGGCAAAGGTGAATTGAAAAGGGTGTGGATATAAATCTTCCTATTTCAAGTCAAAGAAGCTAGCAGAGCACACAGGAGTACAGAACAACAATTTGGGGAGAATCCCTACAGGCTTGTACCGGCTTAATATGTGAACAAAGGGAACCCAAGTATTTCCTTATGAACCACTCCATGTAAAATGTCCCTTTTTGAACAGCTAGAGTCTGATCAGTAAGGGGAGGGGTGTGCTTGGGAGGAGGAAGCACACGAGAGTGCAGTACCGGAGGTGTATGTATTACTGGAGCATTCACTCAGCAATGCTTGATCGACCAGTCACCATAAGATACTGGGGGGGGGGGGGGGGGCCTTGGGTTTTGTAATTCACGGGGGAGTTGCCACTTTTCAGAATCTTTCAGTTTTTTCAACCCTTTGTTCCTCTCTCCACACATCTAATAAGTGCCGATGAGTGCCCAGTTATTGTCCGATAGAAAGAAAAAGACAGAAACACGCACCTTAAAAGATGTGAGGTATGAAGGAGCTTACCTTGGTGATTGTTGGGTGTGTGGGAGACTCCCCATTGAAGTTAAGTTTCTGTCTAGGGAGAACATCACTCCTCTCAGAAGAGCGCCAAATTCAAAGGTTTTCCCAACCAATCCCTGGAGGGCACAGTGTTCACTTGCTGTTCCTGAGTCACCTGGCCAATCAGCACACGCCAAGTCGCCTAAGCAGCCCTTCTTAATCCGAAGCTTGCAAGCTCACGCTCTCTGCCCTCTTCCTCTTCTTTCTCTCCTCTCTCTGCTCTCTTCTCTTTCTCTCTGCTCTCCTCCTCTCCTTTTCTTCCCCTTCAGGCAGCCCCCCCAATAAAATTTCTTGGTTGAATCTCCCTCTGGGGTGAGTCACTTGCCTTTCAGTGATGACACCAGTCTTGAAAATCAGGACTGGGTTCTTGTTCCCCTGGTGTTGAAGTTAAATACCCGAGATTCACAGAGGCAAGAGCAGAAAGTAAATTTTATGTTCAAAACCGAAAAGAGAGAGCTCTCTCTGAGTCCTCTCCTCCGGAGAAGAGAGGACCCAGAGCTGGTGCCCATAGGTATGGAGGTGTCTAGCCTCTTTATAGATTTTAGGTTTCCTTTCTTCTCATGCCTAGCTGTCCAGGGGGGTAATCGCTTGTGTTGGAAAGTGCAATTCTTTCCCTTTCCTGAAGGTGTTAGCAACCAATTGATGGGAAAGTGCTATCTACCCATTTCCTTCCCTTTGATTATCAGCTACCTGTCCTTTGCCCAGGTCTCACTGCTATGAAAAGGGTGTACAAATATTTCTTCAAGACCCTCCTTTCAATTGTTTCGAGTATACATCCAGAAGTGGAATCGCTGGATCACATATTCATTCTGTTTTTAACTTTTCGAGGACTGCCATAACTCTTCTCTAATCTTTATTATTTCCTTTCTTCTGTCAGTGTTAGGATTAATTGGTTCTTCTTTTTCTAGTTCTCTTTCTAATGTGTTTATACCTCTAAATATCCCCCCTGAGCACTGTTTTTGCTGTGTCCCATAAATACTCCTATATAGTGTCCTCACTTTCATTCACCAAAGGTTTTTCTGATTGCTCTTATGGTTTCTTCTTTGGTTCATTGATTGTTTAGCTTCCACAAATCTAGTTTTCCTTGTTACTGATTTTTAGTTTTATCCCATTGTCACCCGCAGGAATTTGGAACGGGTTCGTGTTCCATGGAGTGCAAGAATGAACACCATGAACGCCAAGGTAAGCAAGTAAGCAGGGACTTGACTAATAGGAAGGTGAAAGGAAGACTCAGAACTCCTGAAAGCAGTTGGGAGGAACCAGAGAGCCATTTAAGTCCTGCAGTATTCCTTCTTTCGAACACACATTGGAAAAATTGATAAACTCCTCCTGATTGGTTCTTCACTGTTAACTAGGGATGTGCCCTTTGTTAATCGGTTCTTGATATTTCAGTTGTCCTGGGGTCGGGGGCATGCTGGATTACACAGTCCCTCTCCTCCAGATGGAAATTTACACCCTTAGAGAAACAGGAACGGTGTTATTATACGCCGGGGGCATGTTAACACAGCTGCTCTGTGCTTGTCCTCTTGTCCATCTTTACTGTCTCTTCGCTACTCTTGACTGCCTATCCTTTTCTACCTCACCACTATGGTCAGAGAACATCCATTATAGACTTATATTATTAAATATATTGAAACTTACCATGTGGTCCAACCTGGAAAATGCCCCATGTGCACTTGAGAAAAATATGTATATTTTTGCTTTGGGGTTGAGCATGCTGGGTGAGGCGGGGGCCAGCACACAAGTTAGATCTGATGAATTTGTTGTGTTGCTCAAGCCCTCTACTTCCTTACTTATTTTCTGTCTGGCTGTTCATTATTGAACTTTCCAACTATTCTCATTGAATTATTTACTCTCAATTCTGTCAATTTTTGCTGCACATATTTTGATAGCCTGTCATTAGGTGCATAAACATTAATAATCATTTTATCTCTTGCTGTATTGAAACTTTCACTAATTTACAATATCCTTCTTGGTCTTTTTTAAATTTACTTTTATTTTTGGCACTGGGAATTAAACACAGTACTTCTTTTTATTTTGAGACAGAGTCTCACTAGTTACCAACACTGGCCTGAAACTTGTGATCCTCCTATCTCAGCTTCCCAAATCACTGGGATTACAGGTCACATCTAGCTTTTTGTTTTTTAAGTCTGCTTTATCTGATATTGCTATAGCCACCCCTGCTCTCTTATGTTTACTACTTTGATGGAATATCCTTTTTCATCCTTTCATTTTCAACCAACATGTGTCTTTGGATCTAAAATGAGTCCCTTATAGACAGCATATAGTTGGATCATTTTTTTTTTCCTTCTACAATGGAAGAGTTTAATCCATTTACATTAAAAGTAGCTGATAAGGAGAGGCTTCTCTCACTTTCCTCTTTGTTTTCTATATGCTGCATCACATTTTTATGTCTCAATTCCTACATTACTTCTTTTGTGTTTGATTTTTTAAGTGAAATATTTGAACTCCCTTTACATTTCCTTTTTTGTATATATTTAGCTATTTTTGTGGTTACCATGGAGATTACATTAGCATCCTAAAATTATAACACTCTGATTTGAATTTACACTACATTCACTTCAGTAACAACAACAACAAAAAAAAACACTGCTCCTTTTGTTAGAGTAGGAACATAGAAAGACATGAGTAGGAGGATGAAGGACTCACTCCCTCTTGAGTGACAAACTATCACTCCTTCTTGGGTGACAGAAAACTCCACCCATAGCTACCTCCTTCAGATACTACCTTCTTCAAACTAAAGAAACCCCATGTTTCAGCTTAAGGAACCTTCCATCTTTGGAGCACGCTCAGAACACTGATGCACTGTTAAAATTTGTATCTAAACAGATTTTAAATTCTAAAACAAAAAAAAATAGAATCCTGCTTATTTCACTCTCTTCAAGCCACATCTACACATAAGCATCACCATCTTTTCAGTCTGCACATAATCTAAGTGAAATCTAAGTGATATTTGCCAGGAGCAGGTGAAATATGCATGTGATGCCTTTGGTAAGGGTTTTAGATAAGCTGACAGTGTCTTCTGAATCCAAAATTCAGACACAGGGCCTGACAAGATTTGAAAAGGATCATATGAAAACTAGACTGCATTATAAATTTAATGCATTACCTTACTGAAAAAAGACTGTCCTCCGAAAATTAAGCCACATGGTAATTCACATACATACTGAAACAGTGGAGAGAAAATGGCGTGACCATTGAATGAGTTATTATCAACTTTAATTCTTTACATGTTTTAATTATGACAACATTTTTTAAAACGTCCTACAATGAGATCAGTTCATTTTTCTTTACATTTAATGTAAATATCAACTTTGATCCCCTATCAACATCAGACAAGGGCATACTTCATAGGTTTCATAATCAGATTTTAAAATAATCTCATGTAATAAAAATAAATCAAAATAATAAATAAAATATTAAAAAATACAAATATACAGTAGAAAATACAAAATGTAATTTATTCATCCTAATTAGCAAATGATTAGCTCCAAAGACATAATTTTAACCTTGTGGCTTAAAACAATTTCATTTTTTGCCTGTTACTCTTTCTGACCATATATTAAAGTATCTTCTGCATTTTATCTGTATTTAATTGATCATTTTTTTTTGTACATTTGTTTTCTTGAGAACCATATTTTTTTCTTCATGCTGACTGAAGCTCTGTAATATAAAATGTCATTCATATATTTGAGTAATATCGATCCCGGTTTTGAAAGTCTCTATGAGCATATCTTGCATATTTCTCATTATGTGGGATCCTTCCAAAAGGTTCATGGTCATTGAAGCAAGATTCAAAAACTTCATCAACAGCCTTCTCAGCTACTTCTTTGCTGATATTCCTAACAGCCAGGATAGAAAGAATTGCTCTGTCTCGCACACAAGTCTAAGGAAAAAGAAAAGTATGTGGCCTTCATTTTCTGTGAAATTTAATCATGAAATATCAATTTATATAATGTCTGAACCACAATTAAAATTAATTTACTCACATATTACTTTATTAATTTGTCATTCAAAAGAAGAAAACACAGAAATGTAATTCAAATTATGGAAAATGTTTAGCCCGACTTAAATCTTCTAGGCATAAGACAGACCTTGATGTTCTCATGTTTTCCAATAATAAAAGCAGATGTCATTCTCTGAAGTTTTAGGCAACATGTGCTAAATGGTAATTCCCAATTTTCAAAATCACACACATAAAAAAAAATATCTACAAGCAAGGTCCTAATTGATTTCCATAAAATTTAATTATATTTAAAATATACTTCACATCTTCACCTCTCTTCCTTCTCAGTTGACCAATGCTAGCTAACTTTTCCTTCAAGAAGGGCACTCTCTTCCCTGGCTGCAATAGAAAATCACACACATATACATCCAAACTTGGAAAGTGCCTTAATTTTTAGACAGAAACAAAAATTAAACAAAACATTTTTTCCCTGACTGTTCTTTGCATAAGTATTAAAGTTCTAGTCCCAAGAAAATAATTTACCTAATGTTACACAGTAAGTGACTGGAATTTTTCAACCTTCTAACTTAAATATTTTAAGAAATATAAGAGCCTGCTGTTCCAGTTCTTGGAGAGCTTTTAATTCACCTTTTTCTACCCCAGTCCAAAACTAAAAGAATAGCTTTGGATCATTTCCTAAAAAAATAATCAAAACATGATTTGATGGCTGTGCATCATGACAATCACCAATTTTCTCTGTGTTTTCCCAGTTCTAATTTAACTTGGTCTACATGCTTAAACTGGAATTAGCACTGGAATATAAACCAGTGCTTCTCAACCCAAGTTACACCAAACACTGATTTGTTTGTTTGTTTTTGTTATTGATGATGTTTTGGTGTTACTGGGGATTGAACTGAGAGACACTTTACTAGTGAACTACATCCCCAACCCTTTTTATTTTTTATACTGAGACAGTGTCTCACTAAGTTGCCCAAGCTGGCTTTAAACTTGGAATCCTTTTGCCTCAACCTCTCAAGTAGTTAGGATTACAGGCCTGTGCCACTGCATCCAGCAAACACTGATTTTAAAAATAAATGCCATGCATAAAAGAACAAGAAAACAAACGAACCATATGAAGCCACAACAGCAATTGCCAGAGAGAGGAAATTTCTCTTTCTAGAGGGAAAAAAAAAAAGAACTAAAAATCTGACTCCTTCCAGGCATGGTGGTGCACGCCTGTAATCCCAGCAGCTTGGGAGGCTGAGGGAGGAGGATTCAGGAGTAGAATGCCAGCCTCAGCAATGGCAAGGTGCTAAGCAACTCAGTGAGACCCTGTCTCTAAATAAAATACAAATACGGCAAGGATGCAGCTCAGTTATCAAGTGCCCCTGAGTTCAATCCCCAGAACCAAAAGAAAAAAAAAATCTGTCTCCTGAAGCCAAATGGTTGGAAGACACAAATGTAAACCACAATTTAGCTTTACTTCTTTCTACATGTAATAAATTTCTATCAAAATAAAAGTATAACTGTGCAATCTTACAGTCAGTTACAGGACCTACTGTTTCCATTTCTTGGGTTCAGAAGCAGAGATTCCATTCTCCCTCAACCAGGGTCTACTACTTCCACTTGTCTCCCAACCTGTTGCTAGTTTTACTTATTTTCTGTTTATTTTCTTTTATTCAATGGTAAAAAGTGGGAGAGACTTCTCTTTCAAAGACCGTGGACCCAGAGCTCATGCTTTAATCACATTATCTTCTTATTAGTTCTAGGATATGCTAATGTACACCCTGCTTCCATTCTCTCCACTGACAGTGACACAGAGAATTTGCCAGGGAAGTGGGTAAGAGACATGTGGTGCATGACCAGTTAGTAGGTACACTGGGTTGACTTGGCACTGACTGGAAGCCTAATGGTCCAATCAGAATAACTGCTCTCTCCAAGCATCAGGCTTGCCTTCCAGCTCACTGAGTTCACAATTTCTATTAATAATTCGCCATGACTTTCCACCCCTCCACCCCAGAGTTGAGTTGCTCTTTCCTCTGGAAACCAAAGGCCTCTCTGTCATTTCAAGCCTATCCGCCTTATATCTGGTTGAAACTGCTATCCTGATGAGTCTAACTTCACAAATCAGCCCAACAAGCTCTTCTCACAGAAAACCTCTAACCAGTCTTTCTCCCCAGCATGGACACAGCCTTGAGAGCTGTGGGCAGAACTTCTCACCTCCATTATCAATCCTTGAGCTCTATACTGCCTCGTCACACGATTTTAAAAATAGACTTTCCCTAGATCCCCTATCATGACATTTCTCCAGGGCCTTGACTTAACTATCAGGGGCACTGATCCTTACCCATGCAGTCTGTTCTGAAAGGAATTACAATTTGTCTCCAGAATACTGTGTTAGCTTCCAAATGTAAGTGCAGGACTTTAGAATGAAAGACAGGCTGTGGTTTCCTTCTATTCTTCATCTACCCCCATCCAAAAGTATCCTAGAGGCAAAAGCAAAGCCCTTTTCACTACCAATATCTCCTAGACACATAGTTTGTCTGTAATTGTAAAGCAGAAGTAAATTCCATCTACTCAGTTAAATGGGCTTTTCAATAAGGAGTTCTTTCAAATTTCAAATACTAAATGTACTTCATTTTTTCATTCATTATTTCCAATCCTAATACTCTTGAGGGTAGGTGATTTCATGTTAGTTTTTACCTGATGGTGTTGTTTTAATCCAAACCGTAACCTGAATATTTCATTTACAAGTGAACAGTCCCCACTAAGGTTAGCAGCTCGAACCTATCACAAAGAAAAAAGGCAAACAAAAAGAAAATAAATGCTCATGCCCTGTGTTTTTATGATAGCAAACAATTTTTTAAAACTGAGAAAGAATATAAAATTAGCATGTTTTTCTAGGAATAGAGTTAAATCTTTCTTTTAAAGAATTTTCTTTATTAACAACAAAAGCACACATTTGTGTCCTATAGTAGACAACACCAAATACACTGAGGTTGGAGAAAAGTTCATTCGCTTACCAAAGGGAATTTTCTAAATTTTACCCCATAGCCTTAAGACAAAACTAATTTTTTTAAACCAAAATTCAAAGAGTTGGACCTCAAAGTTAAAGTCCATATCTCTACAAGATATAAGCACTTCTAGAAACTACCAAAAGGACTTCAAGAGAGTATTTTGATCTACGAACCAAATTGCAAAGTGAGCTCAAAACTGGACACACTGGTATCTAAGACACTTTGGGCATAGGACTCCTCCCAGCCCCAGTCCACATGGAGGAAAACTCTCTTAGACTTTCCCTAGATCCCCTATCATGACATTTCTCCAGGGCCTTGACTTAACTATGAAAGATTAATACAAAGAATTAAAAACATTCTTTATACAAAGAACCAAGAACATTCAAAAGCAGTCATGCTATGAAAATGACAGACTGCAGTTAGAACATATTTTCTAATTTGCTACATTTCAATAGATTTTTTTTTAAAAGTCTTGGAACTACCCACATAGGTTCCACACCCTCTGGCAACATTTTTGCTAATTCATTGCAAAGAGAATGGCTTCATTCCCCAAGGAGCTTAACATACTTAACTAGCTAATAGGCATTAAATGCCCAAGATAGAGAGCTATTTAAAAACTCAGGTTTCAATCTACTCTCCAAATAATATGAATTATATATAATTAGATGCAGTGGGGTCACTTATTAATTTCATGGGAAAGAAAAATAATCTAAGTTGTAAAGTGTAAACTTGATATTTATATGAGTTTTTTTTTTAATTTTTCATTACAATGCTCTCTTCAGTTAATAAAATAGCAGTATGGAATACACATCTCTCTAGGAACATATGTGTGTATACATGTGAAAGGAATCCAAAGTGCTTATGAATAAATATATTTTATGTTAGACTAAATGTTTTATTCTAGGTCAAGCAAGGACTTTACCTATGGAAGACAACACGGCAAACTAATTAAGAACCCTGGTTGAAACGCTGCCTCTGCCACTTCCTAACCACGAATCTAAACAAATGCTTCATTTCCACTTATATAAAGCAAGGATAATAAGAATATCTTCCTTGATAGGTTGTTGCGAAGATTAAATAAGAATCCATTCAAACAGACTAGTGTTTGGCATGTAGCCCTCAGTAAATGTTAAATATTATATTTTTTTAATGTTATATAACTTATTCCATAGGAAAAAATGGTTTATTGTTATAATTAAAGTCAGTCATCATTATTATTGGGCCTTAAAAGTTATATTTAATACCACTTTAAAATATACTTAAAATTTCTCTAGTTGTACCTCAAAAATTATAGTTATTAGTTAAATATAGATTATATGTATATTCTATATATAAATATAGAAATTCAAGACTAAAGTAGAACTGTGACAATAAGAAAAGCAGTAAGTTTAAGCAAATTATACTGAATAAAATGTAAAGCACAGAGTATTCTGGGGAAAAAATGTGTCTTCTTCAGTGAAACTCACCTCTGAGCAGGCCAAATGCCTGACATTAGTGAACCAGTGGACATGAGCACGACAATGATCAAATGCGTGAATGAGCTCGTGGGTGACCACTCTGCTCATGTGGGCCTGGTTACGGATGTTATTCTGGCACAAAACAATCTAGAAGACACCAAAATAAAAGAAGTTCACGTATTTCTAAAATCTGCTTTCGTTCCACAGATTCTACCTTACCTCCCACATGATCCTGTGAACTCACCTGCTTGGAATGCCTCTGGCTACTCTTCTTCACCAACCCCACACCTGCTCCTTGTCAAGTCCCAATCCTCAACGTGCATGCTCTATTAGCCTTCCCTATAACTATTTTCTCCCTTCTCCTTTCTCAGGATCACAATGGCACTTGGGTCAAGGACATTTATTCCCGTAAGAGTCCTCACTGAGCTATCTTGTATTTCATAGCTCTGTGGTTACGACTGGACTTTGGAATGAAAGAGACAGATTCAAATTCCAACTCCAGTCCTTGCTAACTTGGTAAACTGGGGCAAATTTACTCAACTATAAAAAGGAGATCATTTACAGTACCTGCCTCATTGAATTGTGAGAATTAAACAAGAATATATCTAAAATAGTTTTAGCACATTTCTGAACAATAAATGAACACCGTTGTCCTCATTCTATTAGAATAAGAAAAAAATGCCAGGAAAAATTCCCAAAAAGATCTTCACAAATAGCACGCTGAGCAGGACTCTGTAAGAATAAGACACAAGAGAGCCAATAATGACACACCATTTATTGTGCACTTCCTAAATACTAGACACTAGTATATGTACCAGAAATTTTATATATTCATTTAAAATTTATTTATTCAATTTATTTATTAAGACCTAATAGTAGGGGCTGGGGATGTGGCTCAAGCGGTAGCGCGCTCGCCTGACATGCGTGAGGCCTGGGTTCGATCCTCAGCACCACATACAAACAAAGATGTTGTGTCTGCCAAAAACTAAAAAATAAATATTAAAATTCTCTCTCTCTCACTCTCTCTTTAAAAAAAAATAAATCTTTAAAAAAAAAAAGACCTAATAGTAGATTCGCAGTCTACTAATACACAGAAATTAATAAATACTTACCAAAATGTTTAAAAACATGAATGACAATTTGTCATCAAGAAAAACTCAGGTTGTTCTGAGAACATACAGTAAGAAAGAACATACGGTGATCTAGTCTGTTTAAAGGCACAGAATATTTGAAAACTGAAAGCAGGGCAAAGAGCTGAAGCCCAGAGTCTGGCATGGCAGGCCTGAGATGAGGCTGGTGAGGAAGGCAGAGATCAAAAGACTTCCCTGTCTTATCTTGAGAACAATGGGAAGCCACTGAGGGGGAGAGCTGACATAGACCACTGCTTTTGTTTTATGTTGTTTTTATCCTTTTTACTATACTTGGATGAAGCAGCAGAAGATGACAAAACTGGATGCAGAGAAATTACTTCTAGGCTAATGAAATATTCTAGGCAAGAGTCAGAGAATGGGGTATTTGAGTTAGAATGGTAAGACTAAAAGAGGAATTTAGGAGGCAAACTGGACAAAATTTGGTGATGGGTAGAAGATGAGGAAGGAATAAAAAGTATCCATATATTTCTGGCTTAAGTAATAAGATGGATGGTAGAACCATTCACTGAAATATGAAAAGCTAAAAGACCAAACAAATGAAATATGCAAAATTTTAAAAATTAGGTTGGTTGGTGACAAAGAATGCAAAAATCATGAATTTGGACTTGGACATGTCAGGTCTAATTTGCCTTTAAGACATCCAAGGAGAGGTGTCCAATGGGCACTTAGATACATGAATGTGGAGTTCAAAAGAGATTTTAACCTAGAAAAATTAATGAGATACCGTTGGCAGAATACAGAGTAAGAAAAAGTAAGTACACAAAGGATAAAAGGACTTCAATAGTTAATGACTAGAAGAAGAGTTTCGTATCAAAGGAGTAACCAAAGAGTATTATGTATATGAAACCCTGAGAAGAAAGTATTTGACATGACCAGCTAAAGTCCAGTGTATATATATTCCGAGACCCATAAATTCTGCTCTAAGGCTTGTATCTTGGAGAAACTCTTGCAGATGTGCATTAGGACAGAAGGTAAAAATGTTCATAGCAGCATCATTCATAACAACAAAACTGGAAACAATCAATATTAGGATAAACTGTAACACTCACACAGTGGAATACTATATAAAAGTGACTTAAAACTAACATTGAAACACTAAATGCTCACTATGGGCCACGCACCATGATAAGCAACTTTACTAGAGATATTTAATTCTCAAAATCATTCTATAAGATAGATATAATAATTACCCATATTTTACAGATAATAAAATAAACCAGAGAGGTTTATTTAGCGTGGAAGAATCTCACAATGTTAAACTAAAGGATTGATTTACAGAAGACAATCTACTGTAAGATTTCATAAAGCTGGGTGTGGTGGCACATGCCTTAAATCCCAGCAACTCGGAAGGCTGAGGCAAGAGGACCACAAGTTCCTTACCCTGAGTTTTGGAAATCACTATTTTTCTCTGAGTGTTTTACCATGTACATATACCATCTCAGCAACTTACCCAAAATCTGTTTCAAAAATCAAAGTGCCAGGGGTGTAGCCTTGGTAGTAAGAACACCCCTGGTTTCAAACACCAGTACTGGGGGGGAAAAAAAACTACAAAGTATTACGTAGAACTCAAAGCATTCTAGATACAAAGCACAAAAGCAGCATCTAGAACAGTACATTTCTGATCTGTATATGTACATGGTAAAACACTCAGAAAAGTAATGATTTCCAAAACTCAGGGTAAGGAATAAAGGGATGTGGTTAAAGATGAGCACACAGGCTTCTAAAATCCTGGTGATGTCCCGCTTCTCAAATCTGGGTTGCAGTTGTACAGCTGTTTCTTTTATTAATGAAAGTGGACATACAGGTTTTTTACTCTTCTGTATGAATGAAAAACTTAATTTAAAAAACAAAAAGGGAAGCCGGGTGTGGCAGCCTGTGCCTATAATCCCCAGTGGCTGGGGAGGCTGAGGCAGGAGGGTCGCAAATTCAAAGCCATCCTCAGCAATTTAGTGAGGTCCTAAGCAACTTAGTGAGACCTGCCTCAAAATTAAAAAATAAAAAGGGCTGGGGATGTTGCTCAGTGGTTAAGTACCCCTGGGTTCAACCCCTGGTACAAAAAAAAAAAAAAGTTAATGTGAAAGTTCAAAAGGTCCACACTATTTAACCCCCAGAGTGAAGCAACAGATGAACTCACCAAGAGCCATTTTGAAACTTGTCAGTATTGTGAATACCAAATTACAAATGAGAAAACTGAGAATAAGAAAAAACTTGCCCAAGAACAATAAAAATAACTTGCCAAAACCCAAAATTCTCACCCTTGAACTATTCTGCCTTTTCCCACGATTACTATACAACAATTACAAATAACCAAAATACATATGAAATTCACCAGCAAAACAGTTAAGTGTAGTTAAATGAGGATTACAGATACAATTGGAAATAGTTACTTTTATAACACCTTTACCTACAATCATCACATGACATAACCCATTTACCACCTTCAAGACTCTGTCAAAACTCTTCAAGGACTTAAAACTAACAATGAAACATTAAATACTCACTATGGGCCAGGCACCATGAAAAGCAACTTTAAGAAAACTTACTTCGGATCAGAAACTTCCATAGGTAGTTATCACTTCTCACCATGTTAAGGTGTAACCCTTTTACTTAGCTCACCATTCTTTCCAATTCTATTTCCCCTTTCTCCCCACGCCCACGTTCCTGCCTTCCACCTAAACTAGACCACATGCCATTGCCCAACATGCCTGCTGATTTCACAGCACACCACTTATGCTCAGGCTACTACGACTCTGAGTCTTTGCCCCTGAAGAAGCTTTATATCCTGTAGCAATCCCTTGGTATTTTTCAGCCAATCACATCACTTTCCATTGTGGTACCAAGTGCTGCAGCCTGGATCTGAAATGTCTCTCAAGGGCCCACATGTTGAAGGTTTGGTTCTAACCTGATGTACTATTGGGAGGTGGTGGAACCTTTAGGATATGGGGCATGGGGGAAAGAAGTTAAGTCTTTGTGACTGTGCACCTGAACAGGATATTGGGATCCTGACCCTTCACTGTCTCTCTTTCTTACTTCCACTCCACCATGAGATGAGCATTTTCCTGTCATGCACTCTTGCCATGATGTACTGCCTTGCCTTGCCATAAATCCAAAGGTATGGGGAGCCAAGCAAGTATGGACTAAAACTTCTGAAACTGTGAACCAAATAACCCTTTCCTTCTTATAAGATGATCGTCTCAGGTATTTATCATAGTGATGGAAAGCTGACTAACACAGCAGGCCTACCTGAAATAGTTGAATCTGCCTAAAATTTTATAATCATCTCTTTGTGTCTTATCTCTTCTGAGAGAATATAAGCTCCTTAAGAGGAAGGACCATGACTTAAACTTTTTTAAAAAACCTACACAAAATCTATGAAACAGAATATCCAGAATGTAGAAAGTGCTCAGAAAAATATCATAAGAAAGGATTAAAGGAGAGAAAACAAAGATACCAACCTGAGATGTTGAAGCATCAAAACCTCCACTAACATTTCCATTACAATCTTCACAAGAAAAGTGTCTTTCTTTGTTTACAGCACTAAAAGGCAAGAACAGATAAAAGAGAAGTTTATATGTGGGAAATAGCCCTGGACCAGAAGTTTGGAGAAACCTCCAAAATACAGGAAATCCCCTCTGCTACCAACAGATGTGAAACCTTGGGAAAGCAATTTAATACCTACAGAACTCAATTTTCTGACCTGTAAAATAGGGAGATTATCTCTGCCAAACTGATCCTCATTCAAATTCTATGTGATTCCATAAAGCATTTGGTTGACTGAATTGGACAGTGTGATACGTGATGTATTTCCTATTTTAATATAAAATAAAGAAAGTAAACCTTTTCACTTTAAAAAAAAAAAAAAGACTATTGGAAATATGCTGAAGTTCCTGCCTTTGGTTGGAATGTTAAGTGGAAGTCAGAAGTTACTTCTTCTAATCCCCTCAAAGTTAAACCTATAAAAGACTCCTACATAACACTCTGAACACTCTGTCCTCCATTAAGGACAATGCCTAGGCTGGTGGAATGAAAAGGCCAGAAAGATTACTAACAAGAAAGATTTGGCTGGGTGTGGTGGCACACTCCTGTAATCCCAGCAGCTTGGGAAGCTGAGATAGGAGGACCACAAGTTCAAACCAGCCTCAGCAACTCAGCAAGATTCTGTCTCTAAATAACAAATATTTAAAAAGGGTTGGGGATGTGGCTCATAATTGAACATCTCTGGGTTCAATCCTTAGTACCAAAGAAAGAATGAAAGATTTGAACATTGTATTTACTAAATCTCCAAGGTGAATAATAGAACCAGAGACTGAGTTAGGTTAAAAAACAGCTGAAGAGCCAGGCTTGCTTTGAGAGAATACAGCAATCACTATCCATGAAAAAGTGATCTGACTTCATGATCTGAAGTCAGAAATCTGAAGTAGCTCAAAGCTTTTCGGGTTTTTTTATTTTGGCAGTCAGAATATAGAACAGCACTTTTAAAAGATTTAATTACCCAGGCACAGTGGTACATGTCTATAATCCCAGCTACTTGGGAAGCTGAGGCAAGAGGATCATGAGTTTGAGGACAACCTGGATGACAACTTGGACAACACAGTAAAACCTAGTCTCAAAATTTTTAAAAATTTTTTTAAAGTAAACAAGAATTACTTACCAACCGGAGCGCTTCATGGCATCAAGTAGAAGTTTGACATATGGATCTAAAAAGATATTGGTTCAATTAAGTATGCTAATTGGAAAAGTAGCACCAATTAAATTATCCAAATAGAAATAGATTATCAAAAAGTAATTCACAGGGCTGGGGCTGGGGCTCAGTGGTAGAGCAGTTGCCTCCCATGTGTGAAGCACTGGGTTCGATTCTCAGCACCACATAAAAATAAATAAATAAAATAAAGGTCTGACAACGATTAAAAAATATTTTT